ACCCAAGGTCAAACTGATGTGATCAGTAAATACATCTTTTTAAACGCCACAACTTTTGTCTGAAACATTTTTTTGTAAAACTTATATTTTTCCTGATATTCGGGCGTCCCGGTACTTTCCGAACACCCTGTATATAAGCATTTGTTCTGCATTGGCGTAGCAATGTCTAAATCCGTATATTTTATGCCAGCCAATCAGCTGGTCACGAGACCAAGTTAGCGATTTTCTGTACTAGAGATTCTCTACGTACACCTGTTTCGTTTCAAATATAAAAAGTGCAAAAAAGTGTGGTTAAAACACAGCTCGCATACTTTTATGTATAGTATTATCTTATTGCATACATTGAAGATAACGAACATTTTATCGATGTTTTAGTTCTAAAAGTCGATAATAACTACATTAAAAATTAATCGCTTCATTGAGTTGAACTAAAGATTCACGTAGTCCGCGTACGTAGTTATTTCTTATTGCAACGTCCACCTTATGTGTATTACAATCTCACATAAAATTCTTCTGTCATTATCATCGCAGTTTGTCTCGGAAACTTCGAACAAGGATTTTCTATTATGTCTCTGGACGAAGTAAGGATAATGAATTGAACTAATTTATTCCCATTATAATCGACACAATTCTATACCTTGTATGTAAATGACATCGCGGAAACTTTTACTATAGTGACGTTAAAATATTAACGAATAAAATAGTGAATAAATGTAAGATGATATTCGTGTCGCTCACGAATTTCTGTAAACATTTTCACATTGTAGCATAGTCAATTGCGTTAAGGTTTATTCGTTTATTGCGTTGGATTTATTCGTATCATTTTTATATTATACGTTATTAATTGTACTAGTTACAACTTAATTACTTATTAATTAATATTTGAATATTTGAGTCTATTAAATACCGACATACGCACAAAGAAAAGAAATTTAAGCATCTACATCATAGTACTACATCATCATAACCATAAGACTATAATCGACAGATTATTATCGAAATTATGCGTTTTTACATTTTATTATTAAATTATAATTCATTGGTTATAGTGAAGTCATTATAAAAAATTTTTTCAGAGATTTAATACAGCAGCCATAGCAGTTAAGGAACTTGCTGCGCAACCAGCGGATGAAGATCTACTTGAATTATATGCATTATATAAACAATCTACCATTGGTAATTGTAATACTGGTATGCTTTTTGCATAATTTTTATATCATTATTATAGTTTGTTACCATATGGCATGTTCACACATAGTGTAATTTGGCTCTCTGTTGACTTTCTTTTCTAGAACGGCCAGGTATGTTAGATTTTAAAGGAAAAGCAAAATGGGATGCCTGGAACAATAAAATGAACATGGAACCAGAAACGGCAAAGGAAAAATACATCGCTAAAGTGGAAGCATTAATTGCCTCGATTGGAAAGAAATAATAATACGTTGACTGCTTCTTTGCACACGTATTACGTAATTACGCTTGATTTACAAAATTTTGTATGGAATAGCAAGCACCGAAAGCACTGTGATACACATGAATCAGTGATGGCGTATAAGATACAAATTTTCTATTCTATAACGATTCATTAAAAATTACACGTATTTGTATAATTTGTATATCTTTTTCTCATTTCTTTGCTTATTTACAAATTCTATAGCTGTTCTTTTATTGTAGTAAAATAGACAAAACTTCTCGCATACTTTGTTGTAATTTATTTTCCCATATAAATAATCATAATTTGACCTTTGCCGTCTGCATAATCCCATATACAAGTTTTATATTTTACGACATTAATGTATATTAAGAATGTATTTCTCTATAACATTTTTATCCTTATATACACATATGTAAATAACTAATTGAAGGAAACATACAATTGAATGCAGTGTATCTAACAAAAAGTTACAACAGTATATTTAGTTATAATTTAAGTCCGTAAATAACGCTAGCCAGTGATAATAATACGCAGTGATGAAAAATAAATTATTTTTAACTATATTATTAACTGATATGAGAGATATGATAGTTTTATTATTTCGGGATATTGTAAGTGTGCATCAGTTATGGTAATCTACGTTTAATAGAGAATTAAATTAGCGAACGGCATCGGTTACATTTTATGCCTAGGTGGACACAAATGAATGTTATCCGCAAGTTGTAGAATTCTGACTCACAAAATGAGCGATCGCGCGATCATATACTTAAACTCGAAGAGCTTATTTTTACAAAGCTAAACGATCTCGGTCCAACGATAGCAGTTAGCAGGTTGCCTCGCTTTTCTTACAAACCAAAAGTTAACACATAATTGTCTTTTGAAATAAATTTTATTAACAAGAGCTCGACCCCCCTCCCCCCCTCTCATGTCGATATGTTAAGCCAGACAGACTAGTTATTCATCAGAGACGTTACTTTTTTCTCTCTTAAGAAGTGCATACATAATTTAATAGTACTCCTTTTTTTTTGTTTTTTATTTCCATCAGATAGTATAGACAATATTGAATAGTAGATAGAGATAGTGATAAAAATGAAAATTTATACAAATCAAGTTTTCATATATCAGGAGCGCGTATTTAGCTTGAACGTATCAGGAACTTGGCAAAAACGATTTATTTCCTCTTACTTTTATCATGCTTCTTACACGTGTGCGGATGGTGATGCGTCTTTATTCTGCTAGCTTTTAGATAGTCGCTGTGTGTCGCGTTCGAGCTATGGCTACCCATCGTGTTATCGTTGATGTTCTCACAGACTTGACGACTCGTCGATGCTTCGTCGAACCTAATACACACATAAAACAAACAGAATGATGGAAGATCGAAGTTCGTGAGAGGCACGCGCGGTTCGTTTTTATTGCATGTAAATTTTAATAATTAACGCTCCGATCACTCAGGCTTAGAGAGCCTATCTCACTGTCATCGATGGCCGATCTCGATTAGTAGACCACATTAAGAGCGTATCTGACGGAACGATGGCAAATAATGAAAAGGGAGGCAGAAGAAGCTGGAAATGCTAATATAGTGTCTGGGATAGCAGGTACTCGTCTATAGGTTCGAATGATGACGACAGGAATTTCTCAATTGCCAAGGAGAGATCGAGCGAATGAGATGTGATTTAACTGTACGTTATTGACTGTGGTACGCCATTCACCGTCTTTGACTTGAGTATATCATCTTCGTAGGACATTATCGTCTCTTTTCCATTCTCATAAACTCTGTAAAAAACATTAAAGAAAAGAGTAATTAGAAGGAGTCTCTTTCTATTGTATGTAATATTACTATATATTTATTGTGTAGACATATAAGAGTATGTGTGAAGTTGGCTTCTTATGAAAATTCACGAACAATTCAGAATTCTGCTTTTCTTTTTAATACTTCTAGAATTTTTGATACTTTAAAGCAGAAAAAAATGCGTCCGTATAAAGTGAGACACAAGATTCACGCAGTGCCTCAACTTGTCTTAAATGAATTCTACTGCCATATCACGCTAGATTTTGCAAGATTTATAATTTTATAAAAATTTGTAAAATTTTGTAAAATTTTGTAAAATTTTATAAAAATTTTACAAAAGTTATATTGTATAAAAGTAAAAAAAATTAATTACAAATAAATAAAGATTACATACAATTATGTAATGCATGCAAATGAGACGCTGACCGAAACCTTAGAGTTTTGATTATTCTAAAAGAATTTTCATATAGTTCTAAGCATATTAAAACATTTTATAAAAAGTTTTATACATTAGCACATATACAAAATGTTGCATTATTTTTAAGAAAATTATATATCCGAGCGCTGTGCACTCAGACAAAAGATTGTGCTGACCAAAATCTAACAATTTTAACTATTTCAAAATACTTATTGTATAGTTAACTTTAGACATAAAGAAGCATTTTGTGAAGAGCATCGAACAGTACTAAAATATTATATAATTTATTTAAAAAATATATAATGTTCGAGCACACACACACTTAGGTAGAAAGGTGTGAGATGCTGGCCAAAATCTGGGAGTTCTGGTTTATTTAAAATATTTCTTAAATAGGTCTGAGCATTCTGAAGCATTTTCTAAAGAGGTGATAATAATGTTGCGTCATTATTTAAAAAATAATTTTGTCCGGACGCCGTCTACTTTGACAGAATGGAATGAAACGCTGTTCAAAATCTGGAAGTTTTGGGCTTTCTAAAAAAGTTATTGTATATATAAGCTAAATGTTCCAATAGCCGGACATTTAACGGCGTAATACTACAATTGCTTAATTTTATAAAAGTATATAATATTTAATAATGTAAAAATATAATTAATTAAAAGCTGAGACTTTAAGAAGTATTATTAAGATATAAGAATAAAATTATCAAAATTATTTTAAAAATAATCAAAATTTGCAAGAGTAGAAATGTACCAATACTCGGATAATGTCCTATTGCTAAACTCAATTGACCCAATATCCGAACATGATAATTAAAATAAAATTACAAATAAAATCGTCATATTTTGATTTATTTTTTTTTTATTTTTACTGTTTTTCATATCCTCCAAAGCAGCATTCATGTTCTTTTGTGTATATGACTTTTTTCTTATGTTTTTTGGCATATTTATGATCCTATAAAAAAGCCATAATTTATACAGTATTAATGTAGATAACACTGCAAAGTGTTCACATGGATGCCGTTCGGCAGTTATATTTTAGAGGCTGTATAGGTATAGAGGTTACATAGTTAAAATATACACTTTCAAATTACATTGATTGATGTCAATATTTACTTGCACTTTAAACTTTTGTTGACAATAATTTTAAGTAACTTATAAAAATTTTTGTGACAGCAGTTATCTCTCGATTTGCTTGTTGGTACACGCGAGCACATGTGTAACGCGAGTTGCATCGATAACTGAACGTGTAGCCGGTTACTAGGCAATTATGAAATTATTGTACCAGTAGCTAAATTCATAAAATTTAACTATAAATAAGGTTTTTTATTAACTAAATGCATTCTTAGAATTATTCTTTACCATTTCATTATATAACGCTTATGAGATAAAAACAAAGTAAATAAAAAAATATCTTAACAAATATATCAAACTTCTTAAAAAAACGTTAAGAATATCGTGAAAATATATCCTGTATCTAATCATGTTACAGTTTTCTTTTTCATTGATAATAATTTTTATAATACTTAAAATAATTTAACATATAAATATTTTTAAATACTGATAGATTTTAATTAAACATTAATATTATACTAAAAGAAATAATTAAGGTTAATAATAATTTTCCGTGAATATGTCCGGATATAGGGACATGTCCGGTTATTGGTACTTTTACCTGAGTTCTAAATATATATAAGCATTTTCTAAGGAGTTCTATATAAATATTAGCAATATCTACAGGATAAATATTTAAATTCAACCAGAACTCACATATTTTGGCGTTTCACACTATTTCATATAATTAGACAGCTTGGATATATTAATAAATATTGATTTAAAAAAAAATAATATAATATTGCTAGAACTTTTTAGAAAATGCTTTATATACTAATACTAATATGCTTTATATCTAAAACTATATAAAGATACTTTTAGAAAGTCTAGAACTCCAAAGTCTTTTAGAAAGTCTAGAACTCCAAAGTCTTTTAGAAAGTCTAGAACTCCAATGTCTTGGTCAGTGTCACCTTATCTTGTCAAAGTAGATGGCGCTCGCAGTAAATTAATTCTTTTAATAATAATGCAACATCGCTACCGCCTGGAAATGATTAGGAAAAGCTTTATTGTATTCAGATTTACACGATAAATATTTTAGTCGAACCAGAACTTACAGATTTAAGACAGTGTCTTATCCTATTCTGTTGAAGTAGATGGTGGACAAAATTAATTTTTTAAATAATGATACAATAGCGTCATTTACTACCTGGAAGTGTTTAGAAAATGTTTCAATGCGCTCAGATTTATGCGATATTTTAGTGGAATCAGAGCTCAAATATCGGGCAACGTCTCACCTTATTCTGTTGAAATAGACGGTTGTCGAAATAAATTTTTTAATTAATAATGCGACATATACACACATACATATTAGGACCTTAACTTAGTTTCCGCCCAAAAAATACTGAGA